GCGAATCTCAAACGGTGCTCCGTGAGATGCGGGTAAACGTGCGCCATTATTACGAATTCTTGTCGGACACGACAAGAAATCCGTTGGTATAAAGATTTATTAAATTTGCCATGGACGAACGGTTAGGCTCATTCCCTAAAATTACGTTCATCGTCGCGCGCGGCTATTCGTATTTTCCATGATTTTGTATAGGACATGTACGCGTTTAACGCCGGAAACGATGGAGAATCACCGGATTAGGAAAACTATTTATACGACTGGGGGATCGGCTTCCTTATTCCCCAGAAGTAATGTTCGGAACAAATATTTTTGTAAGGCTTGATCGATTTCCAGTGCCGCCGTTTCCAAGTTTAATTTGCGTGGGATAAGTCGTTTTCTATAAACAAATATAATATTTTTTTTTTCGAAAAACAGTGCGATTTGGAGTCACGGAGAGGCACAAATCACGTTACCGAAATAACGTCCTAGACGTAACGCGGTCTGTCCGTTACTTCCGAACACGCTTTCTCTATATAGAGAAAGCGTAGGATTTTATTAGCCGGGCGATACACTTACAGTACGCTAACGACAGATATTATTATACGAGGAGGAATTAGAACACGGACATGCGTCCGCTAAGAAACTACGTCTGCCCGAACGTTATTTAACACGCCGACCGTATTATCGGACCAGGCACGGTCTTAAATTCGGATAAGACTTAAGGAACAATATACGAAGAATCGAAATAAAGCGGAGTCTTCCATATGAATTAGCAAGATTCCAAGTCGGAGACGGACGAATGGACGACGGGTTTATTTTCATTTTAATCGTCAGGGGTAAATCTACAAACCGCCGGATTTACGGAACCACGAAACAATCTAGACACTTCCCGAGAGAGAAGGACACTAAATCGGATTCACACCGAGACTCCGCCGGCGTAAAAACCGCGACCGTAATTAGTTTTTACCGCGCGTTAATTAGTTGCACTTTCCGGGAACGGGAGTTGCACGTGCCAAAATTTCGGAAAACGAGCTTTTACGCACGTTGGCCGGCGAAGTTTTTCGACTAGTTTACGTCGACCCGGCTACCGTGCTTGATTTCCGCCCAATCGCTTTTCGATTGGGCGGAAATCAAGCATGATAGCCGGGTCAACGGAATCGGCTTTCGACACCCGCCGCGGCCTGAACCGGACCGGCTTCTTCCGGACCCGGAAAAGATAAATAGTCGACGTCATCGAAATAATTATGGTCGGGGTTTTTACGCGGAGAGTGGGTAGGAAACGGATGGGAAAGCGAAGAAAGGGCACGTTTGGCCCTCCTCTTTAACTGGGGTGGCGGTGGACCGGAACCAAGAAAATCGACCGAGTGCGAAACCCGACGAGTCGGTCGCACCCGGTCCGGGAACGGCCCACGCCACGGGCGTGCCAGGTCGTCGGCGGTAAGCGAAAACGCTAATTAAGGAAGGTCCGGTTAATTTGGTGGTTGGTCCTTTCTACTAATCGGTAGGAGACGGGAGGTAATTAGGGAGAAACCGGAAGGGAAAAGGGTCTCCACAGCCAAGACCCGGGACCGACCACATCCGAGTAATTTCCATCCCCGTCCCAGCCATAAGGGACCGGGTAGCCTCCCCGCCCGGGGGAGGCCATCCACAAAGGCCTTCGTCGCCCCACAAAATTATTTTCAGTTTCGGCTGACGGTAGGAGGGAAAAAGAAGAATCCGTCCGTCGGAGGGGAAGCAAAAAGACTTTACCCCAGGAAAAGGCGGTGGAAGAAGGGAAGTGTTTAGAGAAAAGGAATTTTCTTCGGGGTTGGGTAATTGGGGGCGGAAGACGGGGCGCCGGCGGAAAAACCAGTTAATCCTCCGCTGGGCGGGGAAGGCCTTTGCCCGGGAACTGTGGTCTCCTACCCTAATAACGCGCCGGGAGGGCAAGCGGAGAGGACCCGACCGCGCCCCGAAATTCTCCGTCTTTCTCCACGTTTTTCCTTCCGGCGCGTCCGACCTCCTCGGTTACCCGCCACTAATTACGGTCCGACCGAAGGACGACCGTTCTTATCCCGACCGGGACCGGGTACTGTAGGCCATGCGAGGAAGAGGAAAGGAAGACGCTCGACTAATCTTCCACTAGTTCCCGGTAAAAGTCCCACCCCTTCTGCTTCGGCATTCTTAATTACCCGAGCGTCGGCGCCTCCTTTTCCCGTTAACTGTCCTTTAAAAGGGAGAAAGTGTCCGAGGAGCGAATTAAGCTTTCGGAACCGGACGAAGAAGACCCCACCGGGGAATTCTGTGGTCCGGACCAAAGTCCTTGATAACGCAGAAATTGCCGTCCGAAAGCCCGGTACGGGGCAAAACTTAGGACGGAATAGAAAAAGGCCAGCCCCGAGTACAGTTTCTGTAGTCCGTCAAGGCGCGTGCCATTACCGTCGATTAAGGCCAAGAAATGATAGAGGCCGTTAGCACGTTGGTCAAAAGTAACTGAATTATTTACGTCGGCAGACTCGGTATTTAATCTATTCCGAGTCTATTTTATCCGCCATCCACCCGTCACGTTACCTCCGCCGCCCGTATTAACGTACGAAAACTCGAACCGAATAGATTTATATAAAAAAGACCAAAAAACTAATTTAATGCAAGTAGCATATATATTATCCCTTACCGGTAAGGGATAATATATTATCCCTTACCGGTAAGGGATAATATATAGGCTATACTACTTACTACTATAATATATAAAGTGTAATAATGTATACTAACGGTAATTTAAAATATACGTAATATATACGTATATAACTAAAGGCCGATAAAACTGGTAATTCTAATAAATCTCTAATAATTGTTGGTCGATCGGACAGGGCCACTCCCCTCATTTCCACGGCGGTCGCAATATATAACTTTCCACACGACGCGTAAAATTGCCTCGAGGGTTATTCGACGCTTTTAATAATTCCTATCGCCCGGCTAAGTGATGTCCTACCCTAATAACGCGCAGGCAGATGGAAGGACGACGTTCCATATCGACAGTGGCAAAAGGGAAAGTTCCGGAACCCCGCCGACGGAAGACTCCGAGCCCGTCTTTTATACGAAAATATTCCCGGAAGAAAAACGTCCGAAGTGGTGTCGTATTAAAAATGTCGGCCTGCCGTTTGTCGTTTTTCTTTCTGTTATTCCTATAAATTTGGCCACCAATTAATAAAACCGTTATTCCGGTTTAGTCCTTTCTCTAGGAATAATCGCGGGTGTCTCCGTTCGGACTTACTGTACAGTAGTACACTACAGTAGAGTACAACGAGATCTACGCCACACCCGTAGTTAATAAGTGGGGTGGCTATCCCGTACAGACAAAAGTCGGTTGTCGAATTTCCCGGGAAAAGAAATTGTCGTATTAAGAAATTTAAAGGCTTTTCTTGAGTCGACGGGAAGCCTTTATCATCCAGAGGACGGGATTTTCTCTTATTCGTAAATGACGTGGTTTCTTTAGAAAATTTCCGAAAACGAAAAACTCGGTAGTTTGTTGGGGAACAAAAAAAAAAAAAAAAACAGGAGTCCCGGAGTGGCAGCCACTGGAAAAAGACAGCCGCTGCCGGTCTACCTTTAGTTTACGTCCAAACGCGGGAAAAGAGAAGAAAAATCCCCGGCTCGGAAAACGACGAATTTTTTTACCGGTTTCCGGGCCCGCCACACCCTCTTAGCTTTGGTCTTTGCCCGGGCTTTATCCTCCGACCGAAGACCAATTTATTCCCGGCGGGGGAGGGGAAGTGGTTTTGCAGAAACCCACGCCTTCTTTCCTGGCCGGTCAATGGTTCTTTGACAATACAGTAATACCCCGAACTTACGCCATAGGTGGGACCGAGCGATGACCGCGTAAGTCGAATTCGCGTAAGTCGGGGTTGCGTAAGTCGAGGTATTACTGTATTTAGAGAAAAACGTCTTTCCGTCCTTCTCCCGGGTAGAAATTTTCCACGTAATTCCGATTGGAATATAAAATTTCACCCAGAAAACGCCCGCAGAGAGAGTTTTCGGGGAAAAATCGTAGACGAAGGAAAGATTCGCCTCCGCTTTAAGGAAAATATAACTGCGGGAAATCGACTTCTTCCGGTCGAGGAAAGATGACTAAATCCCACCGCTTCCGGGAGAGACAAGACCGAGCCGGTGATGAGTCGAGGGAAAGAAGGCGGTCCGAAGGAGCCCCCGATCTCCGCCGGGTAAATTGGCACTCGATTACTCGATTAATCGGGAGAGGTTTCCGGACCAGGCGCCGGCGGTCCGAATAGGCCACCGGTGGGGGGGAGTAGGGAAGAGACCCCGCACGGCGCGGCCGTCCGAACTCCCGTCGTCCTTCGCGCCGCGCATGCCGTTTTCGACCCGACCGGTCGTTTGGATAGGCGGCGGAGGGATCCGGCGCGGCTGCGGTTAACGCCGGGAGAAGGGGAAAAAAGGCCAGCGCCAGTGGCCGAATCGTCGGTAACGTTATTGCGCGGTTCGGACGGAGAAAAAGAGGCGTCGATGCCCGGCTCCGGCCGGCGCGGAGTTATCGCTTTTCTGGTGATCGCATCGGCAACCGCGTCGACGTCCGGGCAGTCTCCGCCCCTTTTCGACCTCGTCGTCGGATAACCGGGCGAGGGACGGGCACGCGTTGGTCGGAGCGACGTGACGTCACGGCGCCACAAGCGGGAGTCGGGCGCAGTCGAGATCGGACTCGGACCAGGACGGCGGCTCTTCTCTCTCTCTCTTCCCAGGTAAGCGGTCCCGACAGGGACTCGGGCCTTTCCCCGTCTCTTCTCGGACGCCAGCCGTCCGTTATTTCCGCCGCGCCCACGGGATACACCCACCTTGCCGGACGAAAAAAAGGGACAGGCCGGAGACGGGAGAAGACGGGGGTTTACCGCACCGATATAAAGGGGAAAGGGAGGCCCGTTAACGGACGGCGTTCCGTCGGGAAGGGGCGGGAAGCGGCCGACGGCCCGCCGCCGGGTGACGGCGGCGCCGGTCGATAACCCTTCGAGGCCGCCGATCCGGGCGCGGACGACGAGTCGGTCGGACCGAAAGTCTGGAAATAAGGCCGCGGAACCGGGCGTCGGAGGCCGTTTTGCCGGGAGGGGAGCGGAACGGGCTGTTAGGCCCCGAGTGATGGGAGAAGAGGGGGAGTTTGCGGAGTTTGTTAGAGAGAAAAATTCCCAAACGGGTGGAAAAACGTCAGCGGAGCGGCCCGAGTCGGTCCGCGTTCTCCCCCTTTCGTCCGTCTTGGCGGAACGAAAAATCCGACGGGAGCGCTAGTTGGAGCGTCCGGCGCTAAATAATGGCAGAAGGACGAGGCGGTGGAAGATCCTCGGACGTTAAAAGGACTTTAAATGAGAAGGTAGGAGAAAGCGGGAAGAGCCGCACGTCGGAGCCGAGCGCGTGCCGGGTAGACGCTCGTCTACCGACTGCACTCGCCGCCAACCTTTCGTATCGGCCCGTCCGCTATCGTAAGAGGGGTCCGGCTACCCGTCCGCTTACCGTAAGAGGGCGCCGCGGCCTAACCCGGGTTCTAGGCCCTATTTTGCTTTTTATTCGCCGTCCGGGATTACGGTGGGGATAGGTAACGGCGCCGGATCGATCGTCGGTCTAGGTCGCGGCCGGTTCGCAACCTCCGGCGCGGCGCGCTAACACCCCAATTACCGTAGAAGGGCGTTAAGTAGATCGCACCCGTTACGTGGATTTTCCACCCGAAGTCCTCTATTAATTTTCCCGGTAAACGGTTGCCCTCTACCCGAGATTCGTCCCGGCGCGCCAATTATTCCTAGGTATTTGCCTTGGCCCGGTAAAGGGCGGAAAGTGTAAATTTCCCCTGTTTTCTGGGTGCCGCCCTCCCCGGAGGAGGGAAGGCGGGTCCGGTCGACTCCTCCCGGAGACGGAGGGAGGGACGGGCCTCCGGGTTCCGCGCCGGACGGGGAAGGGTGGAAGACCCGCCGTTAAATATTTATCGGATTCTTTTCGAAATCAAAAGGAACCCGCGGAGGGGTTCTTGGCGGTTCCTGCCCAACCGCCCGGGTTTCTGCCCGGTTTGTGCGGCGTGCGCCGGACAGACTGGCAAAGGGCGGAGACGGCAGGGGTCCGGCTTGGCTGGTGAAGGAAGCCGGGTGGGGGTCCTGCCCCGCCCAGCCGAAAATTTTCCCGGTTTTAGGCTCCGGCGGAGGAATTTTTACGCCTCTCTACTTATCCGGCGTTAAATTGGCCAGGAGAAGGGAGGGACGTTTTATGGTCGGTGGCCGTGGTAACTTTTAATTCGTACCTCTTTTTCCCGCGCAGAATGCGGACCGACAAGAGGAAATTGGTTTTATTATTTGCCGTTATCGCCGTCTGCCAGCTGACAGAATGTAAGAGGAGCAGAGATAAGGACGGCAAACACGTCAGATCGCCCGCAGCCAAACAAGCAAGATTACATCACCGCAAGTGAGAACTTTTTCTTTCTTTACCAATCGCTTTCCTCCGCGATCCGCCGTCCGGGCCTTACGCGCGCGGCAAACGGAAATTTATCAATAAAAATCAGCCGGACCCGGAAACGGCGGCAGTTTCTCGGTTTTACAGGAGATTTTGGCGGGCGGAAGAATCGGGCCCGACCGTGTTAAATGCGGGAAGAGGGAAAATTAGAGTAACCAAGAGGAAAACGCGTTAGAAAAGTAAGAGGAAGCGGCGGAACTTGCGGGTAATTTGCTTGGTGTCTTTGCAGAGGAACGATCTCGGACCGGACGGAAGATCCCTCGGGACACAACGAAGAAATTGCCAACGTCCTGGCCTCGTCGGACAAAGGTAAATCTCCGCCCGGGCGGAGCGTCTTCCTTCTTCGCCAAACCTAATTTGGCACCCGCGTCCACCCCCGCACTGCTGCCCCGGGAACCTGCCGGGTTCCCGAACAGGCAGGGGAAGGGTTTCGGTGGATGCCCCTTTAAAAAGGGACATGTGAGACGGTGGAGAGAGTTTTGGCGGAAAGGACATATCGCTGACGATTTCGTTTGTTTCTTTTCGGGGCAGTCGACTGTCACAAGGCGGCGGTTCACTGGTGCGGAAAGAGTTTCACCAAAGTTTCCAAACTGTTGAACTTCTTGTCCGGAGACCAAGCCTTTCAAGCCAAGTGCGCCCTTAGAAAGGTGAGTTTCTTGGTCGTAATTTAATCATAATTCGGCCGCGGTTAACCGCTTTTCGAATCGGAAAGCCAATTCTTCTCGTCCGTCGTATCGATCGTTCCGGGTAACTTCTATTTTCGGATTACCGAACTATTTGCGTTCTTTTCTATTTATAAAGTTCCTTTGAAAAATCAATCGACCATCGTCTATCTTTACGTCGTCGCGTACCGTCGACCGCCCTCCCCGGTATTGAGGGAGGATTACCCTCGGAGACGGCATTATTCGGGTCTACCGCGGGACGGAGGAAAATTCCACGTCCACGGAATTTTCCGTTAACCTGGATATTCCAGGTTAACGGAAATACTCTAACTTATTTAAGCCAAACTCCCGACGACTTTTTCGTTTACCTTAGTTTCTCGGCTGTGGTCATCACCGGAAAGATAACCTAGACGACGCGGAAGGCTCGGCAAAGTTTCCGTTAACCACTTTTGCTCCCGACGCTATTTTATTTGGTTAATTGTTTTTGGGCTATTTTCTTAACCGACTTGGCCTTTTCTTTCCGCCAGGCGTTCTTCACCTGTCTGGACAAGATCAAGGAGAAGCCCTGCAAGAAGTACCACAAATTCCACAAAGACGACAACTTCCGCAAGAAGCTGGCCGACAAACTGTGGGCCACCAGGGGCTGCGTCCTGGGCGTCAAAGACGCTTAATGACCGCCCCTCCCCGGCCGCGGACAACAAGACATGCCAAATTAACCGGACGAAAATTTACTTTCGGTCCGGTTTACCGAACAAACGGTTTCCTCCATTAAACGTTATCGTCGTTTCTTTTCCGTCACATTACTGTACAAAATGTATATTACCGTCGTCCGGGAGTTTTGTAATTACCTGTCCGTCGAATCGGAACGCGACCACCCCCGCCGGAGTTCCGAATGTATAAATTTTCAAATAAAATCCGTGTCCTCGTACCGGTTGGCAGTTTTTCTTTTCTTCCCCTCCGAGCGCGCTAATCGGGAAGAAGTTTTCCCGGACCCTTCCGATTTTCGGTGGAATCTGTCCGGTGGTAAACGTTCGCTTCCGGTTTTCTTCCGCCTTAGAGGTTTGTCCCCCCCGGCGTGGGCGTTCGTTTTATCCGGAAGACGTCCGGTATAATAAATAAATGGGTTTAAAACGTCGAAGAATTGGTCACTTCACCTACGTCGGACACTTCCCGTCGCTCTTTATATTTTACGACGTTGGCCACTGCGTCGAGCTGGCCCGTCCAAAACCGATAAAGGGACGCGTTTTCTACAACTGCGCGAGAAAATACGAAAAGTGGAGTATGGCTATGTCAGGGACACGGCCGTGTTTTACGTGAATACGTTACGGTGTGTACGTTAACGGGTAATATTTTCTTTGAGAGTATTATATGTATGTCATAATCATTCCGTAACAGTAAGAAGTCCTTCGGATCTCCATGTTTTTTTACGTTTCCGGCACGGCTTCACTCTATCATATGGTGTTTTATGGGTATCGCAGGATTGCCCTTGAGAAGCCCTTTCCAACCGTATACGATTTCTTCATTTTGATTTGGCTTTTCGACGAGTATAGGCCGACATTGTATTAAGTTTTCTTGATTTTTAACTTTAACACCTTATATAGACCTATTCACCATAACTATTCCACACTAATGTTTTGTGTACGCAATCGATAAATATTGACGAGAGCTGTAAATTGAAACTCAAACTCGCGTCGTAGCTTCTCCGAGTCAAAATGTATACTAAACAGAAAGTATGTCACGCGGCGAAACGACCTCAAAACGCATCGCGCGTGGCGGCGCTTCCCCCTGCGTCGCGCGCGATGCGTTACAGTCCCCACTCAACGTAATGAATTCTTTGATCCTTTAACTATCGAGTGGTGTAATTAAATTTTGGATGTAGATGATAAATATGTAGCCGCAGTGCCAACTGTATCCCCTCGATTTTGTTATCATCAGTTTTCTGAATTGCCTCCCACTACGGAATCAAATTTAAAGACGTATTCACGTCAAAAAGTAAGTTTTTGCCTCCATACGAAATACAAGGAAACTCGATAAAGCCATAGAAAAAAGCTAAAACCCTATTATCTGTGTATTTACATCTCTGTCGCTGGCCTATCTCTACAAAAATCTGGTAAACCACACGGAACAATACTTAGCAAAAACAGTATCTTATCAATTAATTTCTCATCGTTTGTTTGATAAGCGTTACTTCGTTCTTCGTATGATTTTAAAGAAATGGACTGCCGTTTACTATATTTTCGGCCTTAGTTTTTCTTCTTTCTAACCTTCCTCGTCCCCATTCTCCGACTCTTATCCCGCTACGGCCTTAATTGGGAATGCCGGGGAACGGTCGCCGTTATACGTTTTGCTGGGAACCGGTGTAAAATTGAAAAAATGCCATTTTGTGGCCGATGTCCGGTCCTTCGACTTTACCGACGCAGAGTACTCCCGGTTCGCCCACCTTCGATTTATTTACGCGCGTAGAAATTACTGCGAAAGGACACGTTGAGCGGAATGGCCCTGGCAAAAGGCCGGTTCGGGTTTTTTCCACGTCCGACAAATTCCCGGGTCGAACGTCAGAAAAGTGCGGACGCCACCTCCCCTCCTATTTAATGCGTCTTACTCGACCAAACTCTCTTATTCTTATTTTCCATAACTATAAACCGTGGCCGCCGTGACTAGAAAACGGCCCCGGGGTTTGCCATTTACCGCCGTTGTTCCGGAACGTAACTTTTTAATAAAATTGTTTTAACGACTTCTCGGACGATAAATTTTTCCCCCTTTGTCCCTACAAATTTGTAATACTTCGACCTAAATACGAGAAACGTTCTGCAGGAAAAAGTAGATGAAAGAGGTAGACCTTACCCTATTTATAATGTTACTGTTTCCCGCCCCAAGTTTATCGCCATTAACCATCGACCGTTAAAAAATTTACCGATTAAACGAAAATAACGTTACAACTTTTGAAAAAGTTGGGATTTAAATAAATCCACCGGTGACTAATACAATTATTTATCCCCATAGATGTATTAGGTGTTTCCTCCACGCGCCCACTACGCCCGGTAACGAAATAAATGGTAGTAAAAAGCCCTCTTCCATTAAAACGCGTTAATTAAGATTTTAAATCCGTCCGAAGAATATTTAGGAGCGCTCCAGTTTGGCCATCTGACTGGTACAATACGTTGTACCGGTTACGTAAACTAATGCATTATTATTAATTTTCTACGCTCTTTTATGCGATTTAAGTTAATCGGGTAATTACTAGTATCCGCGCCTATATGATTACGCCTCCGCTTCATTAGAGGGCAGAAAAGAAGAAACCGATAATGTATAACTTTCGTGTTGTACTCTACGACAAAAACAACTGGATTTGTTTTGCCACGTCGCGTCGGTCTCTACAGAGTAAATATCCATTTTCGTATATATTTTCCATTAAAATAAAAAAGTTGGAAAGCATCGACACCCGGAATCGAAGATTTTCAACTTCCGGGACTAAACAGATTATGGGGGAAGCAAAAATCCCCCATAATCTATATTCGTCTTTCTAAGTTATCCAAACTTAGAAAGACGAAGAAGAATCCCCGGCAAGAAACTGTAAAGATTACAATAAATGAAAATACAAATTAAATTTCCTACCGCCCGTCGAAAATATATACAATTCTGACGAGTATTAACTCGAACTAATCTTATGTCGTAACGGCGTTTATTTCTCTTTTAAGGACCTCCGAGAAAGGTCGGGCCGATGGACGTTCGAGAAAGTTTAAGTTTATGCTTTATTTGTAATGTAAGAAGACAAAACAATAGTTCTAAAAGTCGCTAAAACGGTTCTACAGGTATTGGAATAATTATCGAAGGACAGGCCGGGCACCGATGCACGGGGAGCTTGCCACCCTACCGGATTCGTGACATTCCTATTTTCGGCGCCTTATTCGAAGACGGAGGCTTGAAAGCGCTGCCAGTAATTATTTGCATGAATGTAAACGTTTCTGGAATTTTCTATAACTGAAGAATATTCGAAATTGTTGTCCGATAGACGGAATCAACTAGTTTCTGGCGGGGAAGCTAAACTAAGGCTGTGGAGATGCAGCATCGAGCGAAAAAGTATTGTGCCAGGCCATACAAATGTTTTTAAAATATCTCGAATTTACAACGTCTTGTCGTTTCACACACCTGCGCTTTACGATTGTCGATAGGTTATAAAAGCGGCCGATGCTATCGTTGGGCAAGAATGTCGTCTCCGTCGAAAGCCGGGCACACCGAGTCCAAGACGAGCCACGCTCGACGTACTCGGTCGCCACCAGTTCAACGTCGGAAAGATTGACAGATGGACGTTTGAGTACCTGGCAATCTGAACGAAAACCACAAAGTTGGCACTAGGAAGACGTGCACCCGACTTTTTAGAAGCGTACCTGTACTGAGCTCGATACCGTGGTGACGGGAGGTAAAATGGTGCCCGTGCCAAAACCGAAATTGCGTCGTCGCAAGGTTATGCCGTGCGTTTGGTGGACGTCGAAAGATGCTTCCGCCAAATTCCACTAAACCCTTTCTAAATCTGCTGCGCTCGGCTGCGTCGTTTGGTCCATGCTATCCGCACTAAGTATCCATGAATCAACATCGCGGCTTCCTTCGTCATCACGTTAAACCAGCCTGTCGAGGTTGACCCGACCAAAGCCGTTCTCCCCCGTACGGCCCAGACGTTGCACCACCCGACTACTGTCGCACTCCTCCGTGCAACACTTCTTGGACGGAAGTCGGTTGACCGACCACCGGTGAATGAAAATTGCACTGGCAGGTTTCGACCGAGAGAATAAAGAGAAAAAAAATCCAAGGTGGTTTACCGCCGCCGACTTCGGTTCTGAAAGTCGGTATTAAAAAAATCTTTCTTTTTCTTTTCTTCGTGAGTGGTCGACGCCATGTTTGCTTAAGCGGAATAAGCTCTTCTAAAAGTACTCTCGAAACAGATACACGCTTGGCTCAAATTTAGGAACGTTTCGTCAAGCGCCGAAAATAAAAATGTCCGTGGATCCGTGTCTCCGGGGAATGGAAAACGACGGAAAGTACATAAAATCCTGCCGATATCCTTGACAGAATGTGGGCGAAATCGCATCGTTGTTATAGAAACCAGCCGTTTTTGCTGTATTAGAAATCGTTTTTGCTGTATTAGACAATGAACAGTATTTATTGGATGTGGGAGTGAAGCTTCGAAATGAGTCTTTGTAGATATATTCTGTTATATAAATTGCGGTGGAAGGCCGAATTTCCGTAATTATATAAATTTCGTTTTCGATAGATTTATATAGGCCTATATAATCTATCGATAATATATTAATTAATTAAATTGTCTGAAAAACAACAAAGACAGCTGAAAAGACAGTTGTTTACAGTTTAAAATCGATAGCAGATCTATTCTATCGCAATTAGAAGCGATATTGCCTACGCAAATCGCGCAAGGTGGACAAATTGATAACGTTGCTACGATATTATATTTTTACGGATCGACAATGCGGTATTGTATATGTTATAAACTTATAATACGCAATAGAAAGGAATACGGGTACTGTACAATGCAGTTTTCGTTTTTCTCTTTCCGCCCCGTAAATTACGGGCCCCCTTTTTAGCCTGGTTTCGCCTCCGGCCAGGACCGAAGTATAGGGGACGGACCGCCCTCCGAAAAACTCCTAGGGTTTTTCCATTCGTCCGACCATTTCTCCCATCTCCGACACCTTAAACGCTCGACCGACGGGCGCGTTGCATTTCGGTGTCACCCGTATAAATTGGCCACACCGAAATATAACGCGCGTGCTCAAAGTAGCACGCCGGGAGAATTCTTTCGGCACGCAAGGTGTCGTACGATTTTACTTATTAATATTTGTTATTGCACAATATTCGGAACAATAAATATTATTTATAAATAATAGAATACGGCAGTAATCATAGTACTAACGGCAG